TCCCGTTTTCCGTTTTCCTTTTCTGTCACCAAAGTCTATTCCGCCATGTCCTGACTCTGAGTAACCGGGTCCTGATTGCCCTTATCTTGTCGTCTTCAATATTACGACAACTACCTAAAAATGCCCGTATCAAGTAGCTTTCTGGAAGAACAGATATAAAAAAAGACAAAGTGCTTCATTAGGCGGGGCAGACGTGTTTGATCCCTGCAGGACAGCTCAGAATTGCGTTGCATTGCAGTAATGAGCGGCACGCTTGGGTTAAAAAAAGAATTCGGGGCACCTTCTCTCAACACTAACCACACACTTGGACGACCAAGATGCAGCGGTGTTTGGGTTGGCGCTTTGGTATTTTGCTCTTCCCCCAGAACCTTGTCTTTTCTGGGGTCGCGTTCGCCCAATCTTGGTGTTTACATGGGACTGGACGCAGTACGTCGTAGGTACGGAGTACCTCCGTACTTTATTGTGGAAATGTTGTACAGGGCATGAACAAGGAAACTGCTGGTAGAGAGAGACAGAAGAGCACAGCAACATTTTGAGCACAATTAAGGCCGCTGATGCAGTGTCTGTGTCCTTTGATGTGCCCATCAAGGGTAAAAATTTTCGGAATGCTGTATCTTTATCGTTGGACGCCTGTCATACAGTAAGTAAATAATGGCTTCAATGGGGGCTTGAAACTGTCCAGATTTGGCGTTTGGCCCCTGTTTTTTCCCATCTGGTTCTGCCTCGGGTCGCATTATGTCACTTGAAACCCGCACCGTCTGAATGTCTTTTGTAAGACTTACAGAAAGGTCTGAGGGTATTCTTGCTTTACGTCTGCTTTCTCCTTGACTTACCTCGGTCTTCCCCTCCAACGCCAAGACGTGCCATTTTAATGGTAACAGTGTAAGGAAGCTCCCCACGTCTGGCTGTCTTTTGTGCACGGCCTTTTTCAGAGACAGTCTCGGGGCAAAAGATATGCTCCAGGACACACTCGTACGATTTTGTTTCAGATGGCTCTGGTGGCAATTGGAAGCTGAGAATGGAATTCATGCTTCTACGGGCGACACGTTATTTTGTCGAGTCCGGCTAGATCACAGCAAGGTGTGATCCATACGGAGTATGTCGTACACCTGGCAAGCATACATCTCTAAATGTCTCATCTAGTACGGCAGATGAACAAGAGAACTGTTCCAATAGACAGAGAGTAGCCAACGAACAACATCGAGACAGGCGATATGAGAGTTTATGAAAAAACAAAACTAGACGAAAGCAGCGTAGTACTGCAGAGCGTGTGATGTAAGAAAAAAAGGGACGAAGAACAAAAAGAGAACAGATGAAACGGACTGAACATGCCCGGAAACAGACGTTGAAACAAGCCTAGTTGCTTCAAGAAAGAGCAATGCAAACAGAAAAAAAATCCAGAAACAAGTCGTCTGATGCAAGAAACAAAGACCTGTCGGTCCTTTGATCTTTGACCCGCTCACGACCACGCGTTCTTTCACCTCGAGTTCATGAAGTATGTCAAAGAAATAGGGCGACAGTTGTCACTTTCCTTAGTTCGTTTCAACGAAGAGACGTTGGTCGCATTGAATAAAGTGAATGTCCTAGTCACTTTGTTGCGTCAGCAGGAGGATAACCCTCGTTTCCCACTGTTTGCTTTCCTTTTTTCCTCCTTTTTCTATTCATTCTAACGTTGCACGATGTACGACGAACGGAGTTATTATTCAAATAATAGACGTGAGATACCAGACCAACAGCAGGGGCCTCGAGACTTAGACCAAAAAAACTGGGCCGCTTTTGTGCCTGGCGCCCCGGTACCTGACTGACACTAATAACAATCAGCAAGCATTTATGGCCTTTATGTGTAAGACAGGGGCAACGCGCAACTCGGATTTACGACAGAGACAAAACAGCACTGGCCGCTGATATCACGGGGAAAAACGCACATAGATCATAATATTTTGCAGTAGAATGTGATTGAGAGAAAAAATGAGAAAGAAGGGTATCATCAAATCGTCCAATACAGCGAGGCCGTTGAAAACACATAGAGCAAAAACATGCACTCCAAGCAAAATGCCCAAAAATCAAAATCAAAAACTCAAACCAAATTCCAAACGAGTCCTGTTGTTCCCTTGGGCTCCGAGTCCTGTGGTGCCTTTCCAAATTTTATGCAATATCCTTGTCCTTGGTGGATTATGAAGTAAAGGTAGAGAGAAAGAGAGAAAGAGAGAGAGAGAGAGAGAGACAAAACTACAGCAACCTCAAGCTCCTGCGCCGCCCTGCCAGGTTACCGAGGAAGCTGCCGCCCGAGCTCTTCCTGGAGACGACAAGGTCAGTGGGCGTGGCCAGCCGTCTTGGAGTGGTAGCAGCCATGCTGTCGTTGCCGTCAAAGGCGTCCTCATTAGGCGGGCCAGGGGGAGGGGCGTTCATCAATGTCATTGACGAAACGACCGACAGGGCCAGGGACTTGCGGTTGCCGGGTGTGTCAGGAAGAAGAGTGGGCGATACGGCCGTTGCCGACGTAGGTGTTCGCACCTTTTCGACCATGGACTCGCGGCGGCCGAGACCACGACGGGTGCTCACTCTAAGCGAGCGCGTCATACCGCGCAGCAGGCCAGCGGTGCCAAATGTCGGTGTCCGAGGCGACGATGCAGCCACCGTCGACTCGCCGCCAGCCACCAGAACCGACGTAGTGTACGACCGGGCAGGTGCCGCCATGATGGGGGCAGACACAGCCGCAATCGCATCGACAGCACTCTCAGGCGCAGCCGGCGAGGGCACAGCGGCCACAGTCGCGGTCGTTTTCAACGAGGGCAGCACCGGGGCGCGACTCCGGCCCACACTGGCCGAATTGCTATTGGTCGTCGCTGTCACGGCGGCTGCTGTCAAGGCCAGCTTGCGTGCACTAAATGATGCCAGCATGCCATTGCCACCCAGGCCACCGATACTGATGCTGCCAATGCTGGCCGAAGAAGAGCTGTTGCGCTTTTGCTGGTGCTTGGCAGGGCTGACAGTGCTGCTGGGTGCTGTTGACAACATCGAGCCGCCGCTCGACGTCGACGGCCGCGTCTCAGAGAGCACGACCGAGGATGCCGACGACGAGGGGCTGCGAGCGTTATGGAGCGATTGCCGGCGAGCTTCGCGCTCCACACCCAAGTCGACGAGCGACGGCTTGCCCGCATACACAACTGAGACAACGCGGGCAATGTCGTGGCTATGGCGACGAGTGTGTGTTGCTGTTGTAGCTGCAGCTGTGCTGTTGTTTTGTAATGAGGCCGTGGCCGATGTGGTGTTCGTGGTGACGGCGGCCGGGGCGCTGTTGTTGGTCGCTGTCCGCGCAATGACGGCAGCCGACGTGGCCGTTGCCTCTTCAAACTCGCCGCCGTAGTCGTCAAACTCGTCGCTATCAAAGTCAAAGTCGGACAGGTCGCCCAGCGACGAGGCGTCCTCTTCAGACGAGAGGTAGACGTCGAGTGGCGTGGGCGGGCTGGTCATGGCGCTGGTCAATGCGGCTTTGCTGGTTGTTGGCGTGACTGTCATGTCTGCAGAGAGTGCTGTCTTGGGATCGAGCATGGCGTCGAGGAAGCATGACTTGCGGCGAGCGTCCCGCTGGGGAAGTGGTGGTGGCATGAGTGAGAGCGAGGGCGAAGAGGCGGATGTGAGAGGTGCCGTCTTGGTCTTGAAGAGCGAGTCGTTGTCATTGTCTGAGCTCAGCGGCGATCCCGCGGGCTGTTCTTGTGTTGTATGCGTATGGCCGTCCATTCTGGAGAGCAAGAATGTTGTACCGACGTCGTCGTCGTCGGGTGTCATTTGCGGGCGAGGCGCGGCCGTCATGGCAGCCGGTTTAAGTAGTGGTGGGATCCGTGCTCGGACAAAGGAGCAGCCAGAAGACGAGAGAAAGACCGTTCGTTGGCCAAAGTTCTTTGTCGAGCGTGCCGTTCTTGTTTGTTTCGCGTCTTGGAAGAGAAAGAAGGCAAGGAAAAACAAAGGTAATAAAAGAAACACCAAAAAGGGATCTTTGGCCACCGCGTTTTTGTTGCCTCGATCGCCGCGTTCGAACCCCTGTCGTGTGATTTTCGTTCGTGTATTTGCTTCCGTTCGGTGAGCTCGAGAGAGTCCTCAAGAGGGTTTAGTTCCGCCGGGGAAGAGAGGAAAACAGCAAAATGAGTCCAGAGAAAAGGGGCCGTTTGTTCGATCAGGCTTCTTTCGGTAACAGACTATCCACAGCAATCTCCCAGCGCTCTGGCTTGGGGTCAGAGGCAGTGGGTCGAGGCTAGGTTACTTGGAGAAGCACGAGGAAACAATCAAAAGACGGCAACAACACATATGAGGAAGTCGCGATGAGAGACAGAGAAGAGAATATGAAGAAGGAAGAAGGAGCAAAGGGGGAAAATAAAACGAACAGATCATGAGTCGACAGCAACAGGAAAGCACGACTGGCAGCGGGGATGGAGAGGCAGGATGAGGATCTTTTAACCAGGCTGGGGGCAGCTTTGCAGAGGCAAGCCATAAGTTACTTCGTACACACCAGCTCGAGTGTGCTCCCTGGCCCCACACGCACACCTCCCAGACTCAAACTCTCGCGCTCGCGCACCCCCCCTGGCACGGCCAGCCCTTGGGAAGGAAGGCACACCCCACCCCCCCTGCCGCGTCTTGACATGGCAAAATACACGCCCAGCGTTTTTTGTGTGCTCGGTACTGCGTACGACCGTGCTCTTTCCGCTGCAGTCGTCAGTCACCGTCAAGCACGTTCTTGCCATTTTGCTACACTTTTGTTGCCCTTGCCTTGCAGGAAAAAAGAATGACGTTTGGGAAGCTGCATGAGACAGGCGGCTCTCTGCCGTCAGGTCTGCTCGCTCTTGCATGTCGTCTTTGTTTTTTTTTTTTTTTTTTTTGCTTCCTTCCCTGGTCAAAGATTCGTTCCTCCGTTGTCCCTTCCCTCGACCCTGTGCCTTACGCCGCCAAACTGGAATTAATGCAAAAGTGCAAAGTGCAACATGCAAGATGATTAAGTACCAAACATGCCAAACAACTACGATGTAATACCAAGCACCAATCCAAGCGTCGCCTCATCTATCACACTCTATCGCAGTCGGACGGCGCACATAGTACCCCCGTACCAACGGCATTGAACAATGTACGACGTCCGGCACAGTCTCTCCACACGAAATGGATAGCTGACGAACGGCTTGCGGAAGACACAACAAACAAGGGAACGGGACAACAAGAACGAGAAGATGGCGAGGTAAGTTGGTATGTCGATCTGCTTCCCAGCGTGTTGACTTTCTTTTCTTTTCGTTTGCCGAGGCTGCAATGGCCATTCAAGCCTTTTGTTTCTGTGTTGTTGTACTTTGTGTTTTCTTGCGTGTATTATTTTCGTCTGTCGGAATGCTGTATGCCGCAGTCAACACAGTCAGCAGTGGCACCACGGCGCATGCAGATCCAGTGTCATATCAGAATCCTCCGAAGAGCCAAGCAGTCCACGACTTTTGCTGACTGAGTGCACATGACAGAACAAAAAAAAAACATTAGCAACAGAAAGCAGCGGAAGCAACACAAGCAACGCAGGCTGTAAGGTCTTCGTGGTAGTGCGCATTCCTTGTGTATGTCTCGGATAACAGGGTCGACAGGGTCTTTTCCCTGAGACAGCGTACATGCCAGAGCTCCTTGCGGACCAGGAACAGTGGCGGAGGCGAAGGAAGGATGCGAAACAAAACGAGGGAGAGTGAGAAAGTACTCCGTACCAGGTAACGGATAGACTTCATTCCAGTTGCATTCCAGGCTGAGGAAAGCAAACAAGGCAAAGGACTCGGCCAAGAAGAGCTGGTCTCCGACCGGCGGCGAGTCTTCCGAGAAGAGCAGAGCGGAACACAATTCCAAACAAGCAAGTCAAGAGAGCAGCGAGAGCGATAACGAACAAGCTAGCAAGCATCAAGTACAAGCTCCAAGAAATGAACCGGGATCAACTAGGACACTTGGAGACCAGCCATCCAGTCAGTGTCTTGCGGCCAAAGTTGCCCACAAAAAGGAAGCAACAAAGGAAGGGAAAGGGGACAAAAAGGTTCTGACGCTGTCAGCCCACGGGATTGACTGCAGGTCGAAGTGTGGCTGGCCGGCTGAATCGATCGTTCTCGTTGTCTGAATGGCCAGAGCCGAGCTGCAGAGACAACTTATGTCGGAGTATAGACACAAGACTCCGCGTGAGTGTGTGGCTGAGAAACCGCTGCAGGTTTCGAAGTGACCCGAATGTGAGCCTAAAGTTATAATTAGAGCACCTGGAAGACAAGCTAAAAAGAGAAAACGACTTACAACACAGGCCAGTACCAATAACGGAAACGATGTTTACAAGTTACAGCCGCCACATATCCAGCTAGCTACAAACGAAGCCCACTGGCGCCCGGCTCCCTCCGACCGTCGCCGAGACCGTCTTGAATGACTCGTGACTGTCGTGACAATCTCGACGGTCTGAACTCTCTTATATTTTTGCCTTCTCCGTGTTCTGTCTTATCTTTTGCACGCAACTATGCCCGGGGCACATTAACCGGACGTTGGGGCCATTGAGCACGTTGAGCACGTTGAGCACGTTGTATCGGTTGTTGTTGTTTTTCTACGCCGCCGTCATTCCTGTCCGGCGTGCTGAAGAGTGCTAGTGTCGTTCGTCTTGGAACGACGACGATCTTTTGCCGTTTGGGACAATTTTGATGTCATTTGGCCCTTATCGTGCACAGGGCGATCCGGCGGCTGATTTAGTGTCTAATTTGAGTGCCAGGCCGAGTTTGATCTGACGGGAAAGAGGGCAAATTATCACATTGCAACTGATACAATGACATAACGACAGCACTACAGAACTGTTCCGTTTCGATTGACGCCGGGCCTCGATAACGGTCTTGGTCGTCCCACACAATCTCACTTGGTTTGTCTCTTGTTTCGTGTGCGCCGCGATAACACTCCTGAGATATGGCAGGTTAGGGACAAGAAGGACGAGAATGCCCCCCCCCCCCAAAAAAAGACCGAGAAATTGAAGCGATGTTGAGCAACTTGCCGACCGTACTGCGCGGTGCTGTTTAGCGTAGCGCGGCATATCACACCGGACGGATACACACAAAAATCGATCGACACGGCATAAACGCATACATTGCATTTCCAAGCACAACACATTTGCTGGTCGACGTCCGCAGCGGAAGAACACCCCAGCCTCTCCGCCTCTGCTCCCCCCACCAGAATAAACTGAGCCAGCCAGTTGGGGGTATAATTTGTCAACTGCACGATATGGCTGTCGGATGGCAGGACAGAAGGGACCGTTAACGTTGTTCGCGTTGCTTGTAGCACTGTCATGGACAATAATGGCGCCTGCTATTGCAGACGTCCGATATTGCAGGACAACCTCCATCGCCCATTGCCAGACCACCGCCAACCTCGATTTTTGGGCAGAGTTATCCTGCAATCGTGGAAGCGCTGGCCGGCCTCTCCATTGGGCCATATACATTGTCGGTGGCGGCAAACGTCTCGTGCGATTTTTAGGGGCGCGAGGTGCGGTTTGGGGTGTCCGGGTGTGTTGCATTTTGTGGATATTTGGCCATGCTGTTTGGTAAAACTATGCATCAGAAAAGCGCACCTAAAAGCGTACGTCTCCCTCCGGGCCAACCAGAACCACCAGATGGCCAATCTGCGCCGTGCCCAAACTTAGCACCCGCATGAGAGGGAAAGCCGACCAGACTCGACGATGCTGTCCAATTTCGAGAGTGGAAAAAACAAAGCGAAAATGCGACACGGCGCAAAGGGGCAAATGTTCGAAAACAAGTGTCAAATTCACAGATCCACTGCGTGCACGCCAACTTTATTCCCATCAATCTTGTCCGGGCGGATCTCCAGCAATAATCAAAGGCTTGAAAAACGACTAGCTATGATGAGCAGTAGTTTGGCATGTTCCTCGTTTTAGTTGTCGAGGGTGTACGACGTACAACAGACTTCAAAAATGATTGGTTGATGACTGTCGAGGACAGTCCAAGGACGGGTCTGGCCTCGGCCTCGCCAAACTCTACGCTCTCTGCACTGGTGGCGCTGGTTGCATTGGCTGGCCTCAACATCTGGCCAGCCTCCGAGTCACGCGTTGTGCTTTTTCGACTTTGATACGAACAAATTGGAGCAAGTTGGGCGGGCCAGTTGGCAAAAGTTGGAAGGCTTTGTCAGGCGTCGTTGGGTGCAGTTGCGTGAGTGAGAGCAAGACAACCAACCACCACAGCACCAGAGTGTTGGCGCAGGGCTGCACTTTGGTCTGTCAAGCTGGCCAAGATATGTGACCCTGGCTTGGCCGACGATGGCCAGCACAGGCCGGTGGGAGGCCGTCGACGCCGATGTCAGTCGAGGAATGCTATCTTACAGAGCCAGCAGACGCACCCCGACACCGCGAAACCGAGAGCCGGCCAACCGAAGTGGACAAACGACTGAATACTTCGTACTGAAAGCAGTATTACTTACGATGCACCTCATACTTTTGCATGCACGTTCACTCTCCTCATCGACAACGTGCGGCCTTGCTCGGCCTTGCTCGGCCTTGCTCTCGCCACCAAGCTACCTCTCCCTCGCTCACAACCTTCCAGCCGCGCCCTCTCTGCAAAGCAACGTCTTCGGGTCGTCATCGCGATTGCAACGGGGCATTTGTGAGCCCCATGTGTCGTCCTCCTGCTCCTATTCTCCCTGTCTCAGCACTGAGTAAGTATACTCAGTGCCTCACCTCTCACCTCCACCTTCAAAGCCCTCACTCGCGTCTTGGCCTCGCCCTTCCGTCTCCAGCAAACGCGTCTCCACTCACGTCGTCTCTTTTTTTTTGTTGCATCTTTTCCCCTCCCTCGATTAACGACCCAAAAAAGGGGGAGCCGCATGCTAGCCTCGTCGTTAAGCTTTCGTCTTGCGCCATCTTGAAACAGCTTCGACGCAGAGTTGCGCACGATTCTGCCAGGGCCTTTTCGAGCTAATGCAACCACTCAAACAGTACGTCGTGCCATGTATGGACATCGGGAAGCACTCTTGCCCACCTCACTGGTGTCGACTCGTCTCGACTCTCCTGACACATATCCCCTTGCTGCTTTAAATGAGACTGTCTCGCTTCCCATGCTTGCCACGCCTTTTCTGCGTCGCCTGTTTTTCTTCTTCTCCACGTATGCATCCCGTCTGCCTCACCTCCCTCCAACATCCCAACGGCGTGCAACTATTTAGTACAGCCCTTGCATTTTCGGTGTTTCTCGGTCTCCTCTCTCGTCCCTCTCGTGGCTACCTCGCCCTGCTCCGCTCACCCCGTTTCTTAGTTGTACGTTTCCAGCTTGTTAGTCGTTAGAGTCCGAAATGGTCGACAAAAAGGAGACAAAACGCGTAAAGTGGTGTTTCGGGGGGAGGGAGCGGCACCACAAACGCGCCTTTGGTATTTTTCCTTCCAAGATAAACCCGATACTATAGGAGCTTATGAGACTTGCAGCCCCTCTGCCCCTGGATTAGCATGTCTCTCTAGGCCAATCAAATTACACCATTGGCCCAGCAAAGCAAAACTCAGGCAGCCAGAAACCCCCATCTGGCGGGGATGTACCTCTTCCACGTTCCGTTGTACCTGAACGATCGACAGCGTCTCGCTTGTCTTGCTGCTTTTAGTTTTGTTCTCGTCATTTTTAGTTCTCTTCGTATTTAGGTACAAGCTCCGATTCTGACAACTCTACATCGTATGACTGGGAAAGGAGTAGAGAGAGTTGCATCAGAAAAGGGGTAGCTCGATGGGTCAGAAGTAAAGAACTGTAACAAAAAAAAACCAGGAAACAGGTCGACCTGCCTATGCAGCGTATCGTTAGACTGCTATGGCTACTGTTCCAAGATTAATTTTCTAGTTTAGGAGAGCTTTATGGTGTGCACATAGTCAATGGTCGCAAAGGGGAAAAGGAGAAACGAAGTAGCAAAGGAAGAAGTGGAACGTCCAAAAACTCGCAGAGAAGAGCTATGGGTTGTGATAGGTAGTAACGGCGAAACCAACTCTTGAAACGCATAACGAGGTAATGGAAATGCATGGTGAGGCTGTGGTTCGGGAAAGGAACTGATTGAATGAAGTGTTGGAATTGGGCAACATGAATTTTAGAAGACTGCTATTTTAAATTATTTAACCGCTGTTTTTTTGCGTCTCGTTTCGATTTTTTTTTTTTAAAAAAAAAAGTAATAAAAAAAATTGCGTAGAAAAAATAAGTTCAAGAATACATGATTGGAAATGTTGAATAAGGTGTGCTCATGTTGTCTTCTTCGCCTTCTTTCACCTGTCTCATAAATGCATAATGTAGAAAATCCACGGGTTATGATGAAGATCATGTTCTGCAACAGAATAACGTGGTCCTGTTTCGAAACAGGGTGACGCATAATTTACACAAAAACTCGAAAACGAGTAAACACATACGCCGTGCGTCTCTCTCACTGATAAGATCGCTTCTCTGCCTGTCTATGTACATCAATGATCAGTAATCAACTATCAATATGACGAAAAATACCCAGAATGACCGGAGTCACCGATTCAGTGGCCCGCGGAACAAGCGAATAAAACACTACCGGACCTCCTGACCTGCTGGCTGTCCGAGTTTGGTCGGGCGTCGAACGATATGATTTTCTCCTCATGATGCTCTTATTTTTTTCCTCCTTTCTGGTAGAGTACTCTTTTTTTAGACATTGATCTGAGGGGCATCCAGTTCGCGCACCCGCATCCCTCAAAACGTGGCCGTGTGAAAATCGTGGATATCAAACAGAGATCGTTCGAAGAAGGGCCACTCTGATAACTGATAGATGTATCCTTCGCGAGAGTCAAACTGCTCAAAAATACAGAGCGAAGTCACCGGTATGTGCGAGGAAGCAGTGTTACTTGATGGAGCCTGGCTGCTGTTATAGAGTCGTTGAGCCAACGTGCAGGATCACGCACAGGCTCACTTCACGAGTAGATGCAATTCTGTTTAACGTAGATTGTCATGCAGCTGAATAAGAAAAAGACAACCGGGGGATATATGCATGCTAGGACGTGTATTGCAATCTCATAAAAAAGAACAACAAGGTAGAAATATAAAACAAAGGTAGATCAAATGGGACAAGAATACAAAAAAGGGTATAACATTCTCCCCATACGCA